TTCTGAACCCCGAAACTGGAAGATGCTCTATGTTCCATGCTGGGAGCGGTGCCCTAAGCCCCTGCGAACCTCTTGAGTGTTTAGATCGCCCTGCCTCGGCCTACACCCTGGGGACGCGATCGGATCGGTCCCCGCCCTGCCCCATGCCTTCCTGAAACGCCCCCCTCATCCCAAACCCGGCTTTCGGGCAGCTCCTTGTTCCTTTGTTATTTAATCTGGTTATTGCAGGTCTTTCTTCCCTCTCTGCACTCTAGAATAAGATCCAGACGAATCCCAAGGGAACATTATTTCAGTAATATACTCCAGAGGTCACTTAGTCTGGTCTCCCGTGAAATCTGATACCTAAAGTCCACGTAGAACTGTCCAGCGAAAGTGTTTGGTGTCCCTACCCCACCGCTGTGGCCGCTGCAGCTGATTCTATTTCCGGCTTTCTCTGCTGCGCTGAACGCCACGGTCTGTGGGTCTGTACTTCGCCCAGTTGGCGCGGGGCCGTTGCCCCTTGTGGCTTGAGAGCAGAGTCCATCCTTAACCTGTGCAGCGGGGCCTGTGCTCCTCTGGCCGCCCCTAACACTCACGTGTGCTGAGCACAAGTCAGCCTCTCGCCTCTCTCCAGGGCAGTGTGTCTGCAGCCGCCTTGAAGTGGCGAACCCAGTGTCCTGGGTCCAGGAGGTCCACCTCACCTGGATCCCAAAAATATTTCCTCGTGCTGTGCTTATAACCAACCTGCCCCAGCCCCTGTCCCAGCAGCAGTTTCTCCGGCAGCTGGCTGCAGCGTTCTCTGTAGTCTGGTCCTATAGAGTCAAGTCAACCCCAAGGTTTCCTTCTGCCACCCTGGGATTGTTTGCGTTGGTGCTGATCCTGGCCACGGAATTGCAGTCAGTCCTGCTCACCGGGGCACCACAGCCCCTGACCTCTGACCCTGCTTCTGTCTTGTGAGACTCTGTCTGCGTTGCTCACAGCTGTACTAGGCTTTCAGAGCTTCTTGCTTCTGTTTCTCTGATACGGACTCCTACGCAGGGTGACTGTAAGTCCCAGTTTGGCAGATAGTCTGGCTTGTACCCTCTGTCCCAGTGTAACAGGATCCATTCCCTTTCACTTTTCACAAGCCTCAGGGTTTGGAGGATTGAGCTCAATTCTGTCTCTAAATTAGATGTGCTTGCAGTTGGAGCAGGGCAGCAGCCATGGCAACCCACTTCCCTCTCCCTGTGCCCACAGGTGCCAGAGGCACAGAGTAGCAATTGATGAGAATTCTTGAAGGTCAGCGCTAGCGCATCCCTTCTTAGAAGCAGAAAGCTGGGAGCAAGGCTTCCTTTCCTTCCAAGCCTGACACAGAAAAGTCTCCATGCTACTGGAAAACTGTGTCAAGGTCACCCCAGAGTGACCGTGGGGCTTTAACACCAGGGCCCCTAAATTCACTGCTATGGTCTTCTTCCCCCCTCCACACCCCAAAACAAAACAAGACAAAACAAGAGTGCTCTGAGTCTATGACTGGTAGGCAGGGCTGCTTAGCCGTGGCTAGAGAGCTAGAAGGGCAGCACTTCAGCACTGCTAACTAGGTCCCTAAGGTTAGACTCAGAGATAGGGTATTGGTTATCAAATAGGATGGCCAGCTATCCTAGTTTGCCTAGGATTGACAGTTTCCTGGAAGGTGCGACTTTCAAGGTTTTGTTTTTGTTTTTGTTTTATTTTATTTTTTGAGCGAGGGTCTCATTAAGAACACAGGCTGGCTTTGAACTTGCTGTGTAGCCCAGGCTGGCCTTGAACTCACAGTGATCCTCCTACCTGTGCCCCCTGATTGCTAGGATTACAGATATGCACCACCCTACCCTGTGGAACTTTCAGTTTTAAAACCAGGAAAATCACAGCCAAACTGGGATGCATTGTCGCCCTGTTCTCAACCCTGGCTGCACGTAAGGCTCATTCCAGGACCCTTATTAAAGACAGTCTAATTTAACTGATCCAGGCAAGGTCCTGGGCATGTGAATTATTTTTTAAAATGTATTTATTTAATTGTTTGGAACTGGGGATTGAACCCAGGGCCTTTGCACTGCGCTGCATCCCCAGCCCATTTTTTGTTTTGAGGCAGGGTCTCCCTAAGTTGCCCAAGCTGGGCTTCAACTTTCCTTCCTCCTGCTTCAGCCTCCGAGAGTGCTGAGATTACAGGCATGCACTACTGCACCCAGCCTCTGCGTTGTTATATAGCTCCCAATTGATTCCAGCAAGCTGCCGGGGTTGAGATCCATTGAGTTATAAGCAATATCCCTAAACAAACTCTGAAAGTGGGTTGCTCAAAGAGGTGCATGGCTGGGTGTGTCCATCTCCTCATCAGAGGCTTCCACAATGGCAGCTGCCTACTGTTGCTATTTCTTTCGCCATTCCAAGAGTTTCTTCTCACAGGTGAGGACTGGCTTCCCTTTTCCCAGCATACCCCAGTGCCACCTCTCTAAGGCAGTGGGCAGTAGCATTGCCTCCTCTGCAGTTGAGACGTCATGGTTTGCACAAGACCAGATAAAGCTGGCATGAGACTCCCCCACCCCTGGGCAGTGCTCAGAGGCCAGCTGAGGGCTATGAGTGCTTCAGCTTCCCCCTCTGGGACCCTAGGAGCTTGAAGACCTGGTGCCTCTGCGACTGTTCTCTCTGCAGGTCTCCGGGATCATGTGGTACATCAGCACCCGGGGGATAGCCCCCCGGGTTGACTTTGAGGGGGCCCTGTGTTCTGGCTATGCACCTGATGGGGGCCTCTACATGCCAGAGGAGCTGCCCCAGCTGGACATAGAGACCCTGCGGCATTGGAGCTCACTGTCCTACCCTAGCCTGGTGAAGGAGCTGTGCAGCCTCTTCATCGGCCCTGAGCTCATTCCAAGAGAGGATTTAAATGGTGAGCACTCTGTCGCCAGCCCCCACCTCCAGCCACCAGCTGTAAATTCATCACCTAGCTGTGAATGTCTCTAGTTATACCTCATAAACTGGCTTTTTTCCCTTTACTCTAAAATCTCAGAGCCAGGAAGGAAGGGAGGGAGGAAGAAAGGAAGGAAGGAAGGAAGGAAGGAAGGAAGGAAGGAAGGAAGGAAGGAAGGAAGAAAGGAAGGGAGGGAGGAAGGAAAAGGGAGGAAGGGAAAGAAGGAGTAAGGAGAGAGAGAAAGAGAGAGGAAAGAAAAGAAAAGAGGGGCTGGGGATTTAGCTCAGTGGCACAGCGCCTGCCTGGCAAGCGCAAGGCCGTGAGTTCTGTTCCCGGTACCAGGAAAAAAAACAAAACAAAAAAAAGAAAAGATCTCAGAATTGGAAACGCAAAATTTCTAATCTATTCCACTTTCCACTCAGGGAAATGAATACCAAAGTGATCTGTAGAGAATTTGTTTCTTTTAGTTTGTTATTTAAAAAACCATACTGGGCATAGTAGCACATGCCTATAATCCCAGCACTCAGGAGGCTGAGGCAGGAGGCTCTCTGTGAGTTTGAAGCTAGCCTGGTCTTCATAGTGAGACCCTGTCTCAAAAAAAAAAAAAGATGCCTTAAGATTAGGGATTTTATAATCATCCTGAGTGGCTTAGATGTTGGGGTGTTTCCTTTGTGCATATAAAGCACCAGGACCCCAGATCTCTGTCTTATCTCCTTGAATGGTAATTCTGAAGGGACCTGGAGAGAGTCCTGGACCAGCTTGTCTCAAATTGCCGTGTGCCTATGGATGCCCCTTGGATCTCAGGTGAAGTCAGATTCTGATTCCACAGGTCTGGGGCCCTGAATGTCTGTCAAGTGCCCAAATAGGACCAGCACTGCTGGACCGTGGGCTGCGCTTGGAGGAGCTGAGGAAAGTCCCTGACGTAACGGTTGGCGTTTGGGGTTGGAGAAGGTAAAGCACCACTCAAAATGTGCTCTAATGGCAGTGACAACATTGCCTGGACACTTGTTAGACATCTCAGGCTGTTTTAGACCTGCTGACCCAGACTCTGCATGTTAGCAAGGACCCCGTGGCCTTGCTGTGCCGGTGAGAGTTGAGAGGCTGTGCTCTAGAGCGCCTCACTGTGGTACGGATGCTTACGTACCACGCCTGGTTCTGGCACCGTGGGCGTGAGATTTAGTAGTGGAAAAGAACCAATAAACGAAATCTTTCTGTCTTTAAGAAGGAAAACGAGGAGGATAAGGCGTTCATTCGTTTGTTATATAACTACTTAGTCAACTCTATTGGAATGAATGCTCATAAAAAAACTCAGACAATAAAGAAATCCATAAAGTAAAAAATGAGTTCTGGCTTCTGGGGGACTCCCCAGGATTGATCTATGATCGGTTTAGTGTCTGTCTTTTCAGACTTTTTTTCCTAGGCTTATTCAGTCCCATGCATAAATGCTTCATTTAAGATAAAATTTTCTGGGCTTTTGTGTGGTAGCAGGAGATGAAGATGTTAAACTTGGAGCCTTCATCCATCCACCATCCAACCCTCCTGCCCTCACAGGTCTGATCGACCGAGCCTTCAGCAGATTTCGCTCCAGCGATGTGGTCCATCTGCAGAGGCTGAAGAACGGGCTGAACGTGTTGGAGCTGTGGCACGGGGTCACGTATGCCTTCAAGGACCTGTCCCTGTCCTGCGCAGCTCAGTTCCTGCAGTACTTCCTGGAGAAGAGGGGGAAGCATGTCACTATACTCGTGGGTACGTATTGTGGGTGCAAGCACAGAGCCTTGTAGTGCCCTAACTTTAGGGTTCCACCTGTGAGACGCCCTCACATGAGTCGGGGATGTCTACAGCAACATTCTTAACCTCTTCTTTGCCATCCTGAAAAAAGCTATGGCTCCTCCTCAGAAAAATATTCCTATATACTCGGACTACTTGAGGTTACCCAGTTCAGCGATGCTCTGAATTTTACCCATGGATCAGTGGGCCTGGGCTAAATACTAAGTTCCTTATCCCCCATGTTGTTGCTTCGTTTGGCAACAATGCTTCAAGGGCCATTTCTTTCCTTTCTTTCCTTGTTGTTCTAAAGTGGGCGGTTCTTCTTTCTTCCCCTCCAGGAACTTCTGGGGACACAGGAAGTGCTGCCATTGAGAGTGTTCAGGGGGCAAAGAACGTGGACATCATCGTTCTGCTGCCCAAAGGTTACTGCACGAAGATTCAGGAGCTGCAGATGACGACAGTGCTGAAGGAGAACGTCCACGTGTTTGGCGGTGGGTGGTGAGGCAGAGCTCCAGGGACAGCATGCCGCTGTCTCCATGGGGTCTGCTGGCTGTCCTTCCCTTTCTCCTTTCTCCCTTCCTTCCTTCGTCAGCCATATTTCGAGGTCAGTATATATGGTGTGGCTTAGCCCTGAGTGGGCTCCTGGCTATGCAGTCCCCTACACTGTTGGAAGTGACAGACGTACAAGCCAATCGTAGCAGTGTAACGTCGGAAGTGCAGGTTTGAAACCACCTCTTGTAGGTTCCACTTGCTGCTCTTATGTATGCACCATGCAGCCATGCAACTGCGATTTTGTTCCCAGCACTGAAGTTCAGAGGGTGCACGCTCAGTAAATAATGAAGAGAATGTGTCACTACATCTTGGCAGTTCTCACCCTCCCTTACAGTCTAGAAATGACTAAACCATGCATGCAGTTAGCAGGTCTAAGTATTTAAAATAGGAAGCTACTGGGGTTTTCTGAGGTCTAGTGGGGTTTGTACCCACTAGTGACAGGTAACTAGTCATATAAGTGAAATCTGCATCCACATCACGAGAAGGGATGCCTTTTGTGCTCAGAGAAAGGAGAAAAACACCTCTTTTCATGCCAGAGCAGCTATTCTGAATGGATCTAGTCGGTGTGGAGACTGAGAATAGAAAAGGATGAGATGAGTGGGATGACACTGTTCAAGCAAGGGGATAAGAATATGAAAAGTGGGGGTCTCGGCTAAACTTTTGCACAGTGGACCTCTCCACAGGGCCTCTCTTGGTTTGATTATTCACCAGGCAGGTCAGCAAAGGTGATGGCAGAAGATATTCCTTCTACAACTGGCCTGGTGTCCTGGTGTCATCCCGTAAAGGATGTTTTCATGTAACACCAGCTTTGTCAAGGAGCAAAGGCATCCTGGAAACAAACCTACTCCTGGGAATTGCATGAGTCTCTTATGTCTGCTTTTAAGAGCAACCAAAAGTCCCCGTCTGTTTATGTCTTTAGTAAGTGCACACACATTCCAGGGTAAAGTCCATGGGTTAGCTAGTGCTGTGTTGCAAAATCTTATACGCTAGCCACGTTGTTGCAGAATCTTACACGTTAACTGCCCAGATTTGGTGCATTTTCTTGCAATCATTGCAAGGCTTTACTGTGCAAGATTCAGGCACCAAAACGGATACGTATGGATCTAGGACCAACTCTTCCAAGCATCCAAGTAGAGAATAGCTTTACATCCTTCTGTCTGGCCATGAACTCCTCTCTTGCCTTGTATGTGGGTATTGAAAGGTTTTTCCCTAGCAGCGGGAATGAAAGCTCATTCATGACCTGTGGGTAATAAAACACTGCTCATTTTTTAAATAATGGTAGATAGGAGCATGATGGGGAGTCATGTGTGTGATTGCTATAGTGAAGACATATTTCTTTTGAGTGTGTTCTGAGCTTCAAGGAAAGAAGGCATGAGACTTTAAAGAAATGAGTTTTGTTCATAAGCAGCACTTGCTGTCTGGGGTTTTGCAAGGTTTTATTATACAGTACAGGACACATTTTATAAGATTATTTTATATAACCACCCAAAGAATCATATACAAAAAAAGAGGGCAGGAAATCTGTCCACACACTAAAGACCAAAGAATCCAGCTGAGGGCCTGGATCCTGTGGCAATGTCCTGTATGAGTCGAGCTGAAAACCTAGAGCCTATAACAATGCCTCCCATGAGTCCAGCTGGAGGCCTAGAGCCCATGACAGTGTCTCATGCAGGCCTGTTTCACGAATCTGCACTGGGAAGGCCCAAAGGTCAGTGGTGGAAGCTAGAAAGTCTGTGCCAGTGGGATGAAGGATCTGTGCCAGCAGGCTGAGGGATCTGAACTGGAGCCAGGAGTGATGCTCAAAGTAAGAACCAGAGCTTCTCTGAAAAGTACCACAGCCATCCTCAGCAGCAGTAAGGTCCTAAGCTCCTCCGATGATGAGGACAGCCGAGCTCCCATCAGGAAAGCCAGTGTGGCAAACTTCTCCGGGAGACGAGCAGTGCACCATCTTTCCCTCTGGAGCCAGGAAGCGATCCTCAAAGTGAGGGCCAGAGTTCCCCCAAAGTGAACTGTAGCCATTCTCAGAGACACGAAGGTCCTAAGCTCCTCCTCCAATGAGAGCAGCCATGTTCATCAAGAAAGCCAGCATGACAATCTCCCCCAGGAAAACCGACAGCTCCCTACAGCTTCCCTAACAGCTTCTATTCTTCCTCTCCAGCTCTGCCTCTTGTGCTTCTGGCAACAATCCTCAGGTGGGCCTCCCATACCCAGCACCGCGCTGGTTCAGTTCAGCTGGGTGTTACAAGTTGACCACCAGTTGTCAATCCACCACAGCCCAGTTCAAATTCTCTCTTTCCTTTTTGGAGCCTTCTGATTGGCTGCTATAAGGATACGTGCGAGTTCAGGGGCTAACAACAAATATGTGTTTTCCCTTAGACTGATGAGCTCAGGAAGTAGGAATGAACCACCATCTTGCTTGGACACTGGGTTTTTAAAGTCATTAACTTGCCTGTACATTGTGTCCTTGTTAAATGTAGAATCATTAGTAAGCACTCGATAGCTATTGGTTATGTTACTTGGTATGCTTTTGGCTGCAAGTAATGGAAAATCTAACTTAGACTAACTTAAACAGGAGAAATCCTGTCTTGTGTAACTGGACATCTAGGGGTAGGGTAGCTCTCCCTGAACCCAAGTCCTTCCCATTCTCTCTCTGCCTTCCCCAATCCTCAGGTTCGTTCTTCTTGCCATATGATGGTGACTTGAGGTCACCAGCTCTCTCTCTTTCTGTGGCTCTTTCTTTAAAGCAGTGAGTTGTCTTTTAGCTCCCCAACCAACATCCCCTTGTGTCCCATTGGCCTGAATTCATCACACACCCATCTTGGAGCTGACCTTTGACCCCATGGCAATGCCAGGTGCTGATTGGCTTGGCCCTGGCAAAGGAATGCAGTCACCACAGCTGGCCCAGGACATTTGGGGTTCACATGTGGCTCTGGAGTCATCCCCCAGCTTCACTGTTCTACACAATGACTAGAGTTAACAACCTTAATTCATGCTCTGAGACTCCCCCCAACAAATTTCAACCCCCTTCCTTCCAAGTATGGAGAAATAGGCCCAGGTATCAGAAAAGATCAGTATTGGTGTGATTACTAGATGGGGAATACATCTTGGACTCTTGGCCATTCACTTAGAAATTTAAGGGCCGGGGATATAGCTCAGCGGCACAGACGCTTGCTTGGCAAGTGCAAGGTCCTGAGTTCGATTCCCGGTACAAAAAAAAAAGAAATAATATCCTCCACTTAGAAATTTAAGCAGTAGTTCACCCATAAATTAAGCTGATGTGCACAGAAAAGTTCTGCCCAAGCAAGCAACCTAGCACATAGGAGCAGAGAGCAGAACAGCCACCCTCGGGTTCTAGGTGCAGACAGGCCACAGGGGCAGAGTGACCACATCCCCTCAACCCTGATGGAGCTGTAGAGTACAGGACCAGCTTCTCTCCAGCTCACGGTCAGGTAAACAGTTCCTGCTTCTTTGCAAAAGAGTCTGCAAGGAGGGTGTAGCTTACCAAGGGGAGTTCTTACCCCAGTGTCCCAGAGGGTTGACCTTTTGTATCTTGGAACATTGGAAATGGCTCCGGCTACATTTTTGGTTCTCTAAAGCAAGGGCAGATGCTCAGGCGTACAAGTATGGGAGACCTGGTTGCTATCCCGAGGAGCTTCACTGTGAGTGTGGAGAGCCAGGCCCAGCCCCCGGAAGCAGAGTGCAGGTCCTGGGGGTGCGGCACAGCCTGGTGGGGACCTGCCCTGGGCGAGTGCTGAGCACCCAGGAGTCTGTCCTGCTCCTGAGAGCTGCACTCTCCTCTTTCCTCTGGCAGTGGAGGGAAACAGCGATGAGCTGGATGAGCCCATCAAGGCCGTGTTCGCGGATGTGGCTTTTGTCAAGAAGCACAACCTGATGAGCCTGAATTCGATCAACTGGTCTCGGGTCCTCGTGCAAATGGCCCACCACTTCTTCTCTTACTTCCGGTGCTCTCCTTCCTTGGACACGCACCCACTGTCCCCCGTGGAAGTGGTCGTGCCATCAGGAGCTGGTGGCAACCTTGCAGGTAAGGGGACCCCTGATGTGAATGGGCTTTCAGGAAGTCTACCTGAAACCCCAGTCTTTCTAGCTGCCCTTTGGCTGCAACTGGGAAGAGGAAGAAGGTCAAGTCCTAGTTCTGTATGGTTTTTTTTTTTTTGAGGAAGGGTCTCAGTATGCAGTTCAGGCTGGCCTTGAGCTCACTTTGTAGCCCAGGCTGGCCTCAAACTCACAACGATCCTCTTGCCTCAGCCTCCCGAGTGCTGAGATTACAAGCGTGTGCCCGGCTGAAGTCCTAGTTCTGAAGGTGACAGGAAGCTGCACAGAAGAACCCAGATTTCCTCCCTGGCTTCCTGGGGGTTTCCTTGGGCTCTTCCTGCTCAGCCCCATGTGCCTGCCCTGTCGTGCTCCTTCCACATGTGAGGAGATGAGGTCAGGGGTCAGCCGTGGAGCCCAGCTGGCAGTGCCCTCTCCCCGAAACACGGCCTTTACTCCCAGCGCAGCCAGCTGCCTGCTGCAGGGGCTAGTGGCTTGGCTGCAGTGTGTTCCCACCACTGGGCACACTCCCCAGGTAGCACGTGAGGCACAGGGGTCCTGGACTTAGGACTCTGGCCCCAGCTCTCTTCCTTCCTAGCTGATTGGGCGTGGGTTGGTCCCTTTGGCGCAACTGTAAAAGGAGATTGGTCACTTACCATGTTTCTGAGGTCTGCTGCTGGGAGGAGCCAATAACATTCTCCTGTGCATCCGAACTTTGTGAGGGTGAAGTGTGGCACGGCTGCATGGTGCCACAATCATTTTCTCAGGAACAGTGAACATTTTCAAGCACTTACTGTGCCTAAGTGCTATGCTAAATGTTTCTCGTGTATTAACTTATTTACTCCTCGCATGGGCCTAAGAGAAGGACATTACACTCGTCCCACCGTGTACATGAGGGGTCGGTTCAGGGACCCACATAGACTCCAGAATCCACGGATGCTCGAGTCCCTTATAGAAAATGATGTAACGTTTGCACATGGCCTGGGCGTATCCTCCTTGTGTTCAAATCAGGCTCATCCAACCCTCAGGCATCATGCAGCCCCAGACGGCTAACAACATGGTCCCCCAAGATCATGCAATTTCAGTATCATTGTGCAGTTGTTAGCGACCCTGTTCATGGCTCCACGTCGTGGTGTTTTAGCACAGACTGCATAGGTGACAAAGGGATGCAGCGCGGTGACAAAGGGGCTGGCTGTCCTCACGTGCCGGCCACACACAGGCAGCAAAATTGAAACCCCCGTGTGTCTGCTGTACATGCTCGTGTGTGACTTGAAGAACATTCAACACTTACCAGACAGAGTGCTTGGACCTTCCCGTGTGTGTGAGTGCATACGTGCATGTATGCGTGTGCGTGTGTGTGTGTGTGTGTGTGTACAGGTGTTTATTGTTATTAAGACAATTCCTCTTCACTGTGGGAGAAGCCTCAAGGTGGGACACCATGATTCATCTCTAGATCACTTCTAATCCCTAACACAACATGTGAGTGCCATCTGAGTAGTTGTTACACTGTATAATTTAGGGAGGGATAGCAAGGAAAAAAGCCTGAACAGGTTCAATACAGACAGTTACACAATTTTTTTTCAGTCCCTGGTTGGATGAATCTGCAGATAGGAAACCTACAAATACAGAAGGCTGACTGTAATTTTATTTCCATTTTTATTTATTTATTTGCAATGCTGGGTGTCGAATGCAGGGTCTTCACGTAGAGCTACATCCTCAGCTTGTTTTTTGTTTTGAGACAGAGGCTTCTCACTTCACTGAGTTGCCCCTGCTGGGGTTGAACTAGAGATCCTCCTGCCTCAGCCTCCCAGAGTGCTGGAGTTACTGATGGTATTTCCCTTTTTTAATGAGGAATTAGAGGCAAAGAGAGGCCAGTTTGCCCCCTGGTTACCATGACTGGTCAGCAGCAGAGCCCAGATGACACACAGGATCCTCAGCAGCTCTAGAGGCTGGTGCTGCTGCTGTTGCTGGTTAGCTCCTTTGGGCTTTTGCTTCTATGGTGCTCCAGGGGTGGGGGTATCTTAGTGGTTCGGAACCTTCTCGACCTCTCCCTGTAACGGGACGGGAAGAACAGGGTGTGGCAGTTAGCCAAGAATGATCAGCTTCTCTGCCACCCAGGAGGGAAGCCCACCAGGCTTCCCATCCACATCACCCCCATCTGCAGTGTCCCCTCGGCCGCACAGCTGATGGCCCTTGCTGAAGGTGCTCTGTCTGTCCTTGCTCCGTCCTTGCTCTAAGCTTTCAACTTGAACCTCCCGGACCCTCCTGAGTTTCCATCTCCTCTGCCATCCCTCGTGACGTTTCATAAGCATCGAGGGCAAGGAGAGTATGAATGTGCTTTGCAAACCCGTGCTGCAGGGGCGGGGTGGCTGCTCCAAACTGCCCTTCGTTGCTCCCCACAGGAAGAGTGCTCAGGAAAGCATGTGAACCCTTCCTGAACGATGATGCCCAGGGTCGGGGCTCTGATCAGTCAGATTTGAGCAAACAAGTCCTGCCGCTGGGTGCCCGAGGTGCCGCTCTGTCCTCGGTGGCCCCCAGGAAGCGCCGTACAGGGCTGCCGACTGCAGGAGGCTGGGTCCAGCCACGAGTGTGTGCTCTGTACTCGGACACACTTTTGAATCTGGACTCGACCACTTAGCAGGCCGTGGACAGGCCATTCCAACCTTCATTTCTTCTTCCTGGGTTGCCGCCCAATAGTGAGTGCGTGCTGGTACCCGGCAGGGGGCTGGCATATAGAACAGAGCGTGGCTACCCTCCCCTCTCTCTGTTGTGGGCCAGTTTATTACTGTATGGTTCACATAATCTTCCCCATGTAGTTGAAGGGCTTTGAGTGTAGTCACAGCTTTGTGTAAGCATCTCCATCATCAATTTTAGATCACTGACAGCATCTGGAAAAGAAACCTGGGCTTGGTGGTAGAGTGCTTGCCTAGCATGTGTCAGACCCTGGGTTCCATCCCTAACACCACAGAGAAACAAAAAACTATAGCCCCATACCCATTCACAGTCACTTCCCATTTCCCCTGAATCTTCCCCCTCCCAGCCCTCGGCATTGCTGATCTGGTTGTTTTTTGGGTTTTGTTTTTTTTTTTTTGGTGGGTACTGAGGATCGAACTTGGGACCTCACACTTGCCAGGCAGGCACTGCACCACTGAGCTGTATCCCTGGCCCCTGATCTGCTTTGTCTGTATTGACTTCCCTCTTTGTTTTAGAAGTGCCATTGCTAGGGCATATGGAAACTCTACGTTTGGGAAACTTTCCTCTCTTTTTCAGGGTAGGTACAACATTTCACATCCCCACCAGCAATGTAAAAAATTTCCAACTTCTCCATATCCTCACCAACACTTTTTATTATCTGCCTTTTTTAATGTAGCTATACCACTCATTGCAAAGTGGTGTCTCAATGTATTTTGGGTTTGTATTTCCCTGATGATTAATGATGTGGAATATCTTTTCCTGTGTTCACTGATCATTTATGTGTCTTTGTTGTAGAAGTGTCTATTCAGACCTTTGACCTATTTTTAAATTTAGTTATTAGTGTTTTTATTATTTAGTTGTGATAGTTCTTTATATGCTGTGGATGCAAGTCTCCAGTCAGATACATGACTTGAAAATATTTTTTCCCACTCTATGAGTTATCATTCCACTTTTTTTTTTTTTGGACAGTGTAGTTGGCTTTCTATTGCTATGACAAATACCTGAGATAAATAACTTCAAGGAGGGAAGGTTTATTTTGGCTTATGGTTTTGGAGGTTCTAGTCCATGGATGGCCAGCTGCACTGCTTTAGGCCTGTGGCAGGCAGAAACATTATGGTAGAAGGGGTGGCAGGGAAATCTGCTCACCTCATCGCAGCCAGAAGGTAAGAGTAGGGAAGAGGAAGGGGCCAGGGACAAGCTATGTCCCTCAGAGAGCATAACGTTTTCTTAATTTTGACAAAGCTCAATTAAAAAAACCTTTGTTTTCGCTTTTGTTTCTAAAAACACTGTTCTCCTCCCGTCTGGGCTCAAGCTGGGTGCCTCGCTCAGAAGATGGGGTTGCCGATCCGCCTGGTGGCAGCCGTGAACCACAATGACATCATCCACAGAACCATCCAGCGGGGAGACTTCTCCCTGTCCCCGGCTGTCAAACCAACCTTGGCGTCAGCCATGGACATTCAGGTGGGGCCGTGGGGAAGTGAGCAGCATGGCCCAGGTATTGCTGGGGTGGAGCCCGAGCTGCAATCAGGGGCTGAAATCAGGGTGGCTTGGGACTCTGCCTTTCTGCCAGGTGCCCTACAACATGGAGAGGATCTTCTGGCTGTTCTCGGGCTCCAACAGCCAGGTGATCAGGGCCCTCATGGAGCAGTTTGAAAGGACCCAGAGCCTGCATCTACCCAAGGACCTGCACAGCAAGGTCAGTCTCTACTCACACCCAGGAAGGGAAAGGGTGTGGCCGCACTGCAGGCTGGGGTGTGGGTAAAGGAAGGGGACACCTGGTTTTTGAGCATCTGGAGTGAACCAGGCACATTTATAGTCACCTTATGGTGGGTTAATGTCTTGAATGAGGAGACCCAATAAAACGCAGTTTAGATTCAGGTGGGCTGAACCCCAAATCAGCTGTGAGGTGCTGGGCCACTTTCTGAAAATCTGTGCCTCACTTTCCTCATCTTTAAAATGTGGATAAATGCTGGGCATGGTGGTGCACACCTGTAATCCCAGCACTTGGGAGGCTGAGGCAGGAAGACTGCCACAAATTTGAGGTCAGCCTAGGTTATATAGTGAGGTCAAGTCCAGCCTGAATTACATAGTGAGGCCCTGTCTCAAAATAAAATAAAATAAAATAATTAACAAATAAACTGGGAATAATAAGAATGCCTACCTCATAAGGTTACTGAGAGATTTAAGTCAAATAATATATATGAGGCACTTTGCATACTGCCCGGTAATATAAGGCTTCAAACACTAACTGTTAACACTTTTATTTATTCTAATGTTGATTTTTAATAATAGCAATAACTGGCAAACAAGGGTAAAGCCGTATTTTCCTTACAGTGTGAGCAGAGGTCGTCATTCCTGTTGCATATGCTCCCTCTCTCCCTCTTTCTTTTTTTTTCTCTCTGTCTTTCTCCCCCTCTGTCTCTCTCAGAGAAGGAGATACATTGTTTAGAAGCTGGAAAGGATTGCATTTATTTTAATGCAGCTGGGTGATGTTACTTATTTTATGTATCAGATATAGGATTTTTGAAGCTGCCTTTAATTTCCCACACCCCACTAAGTGGCCATGTGGACTCCACATACCTCTAGTGACCAGGACCCCCCTACCTTACACCAGCTCTAATTGGAGCAGGTTCCTTACACAGAGCTGCAGTCTGCTCCTTCTGGCCTGTGCACCCTGATTTTACCTCTTGCCTGTGTTTGGAGAGAATTTTCATTCCCACTGGTCTTCCCAGTTCCCTCAGCTGACCCTTCCATGACGTAATCCTGCTTGGTCAGCGACGTTCTTAGTGAGTTGTCCTCAAAACTGGAGGCGGGTCTCTAGGCTGAGCCAAACCCAGGCAGACTGCAGTGGAATTTCTGTCTTCTGCAATCGGGGCTTCTTTTGATGAAGTCATCTGTCAGGGGGTTTTTTGCTAATGGTTGCTTTTGACATCTGCATTCCTTCTTCTCATGTAACTGAGATGTTCCATGAAGAAAGACACTGTCTCCCCCATTTCTTCTTTTCCTCCTTAGCTGTGTACGCAGCAGACTGTCCATCTGCCAGAGGAGCATTTGCTTATTTACTCATATTATTTACTGTGAGTCAGGAACTGTGCTAGCTGCTGGAGATATGAAGGTAGAATACATCTTTGAGGCAGGGAGTGTAGCAGCTCAGTGGCGGAGTGCCTAGCATTTATGAGGCCCTGCATTGGCTGTATCCCCAGCATGACAAAAACAAGAAAAAAGGTGTCAAGGGCAAGAATTACATTCAGTGCCTTCTGTGACCCCTGATGGGGAACATTAGGTCCCTATATAAACAATTTTAGCTGGTCTCTGTTGCTGCCGAGTTCATGCAGGGTGTTTGGTATGCTATAAACACGTACATTTTCAGGGAATGATCAGCGACACGGGTGGGGGTAGTGCTGAGGCAGGAATCTCCCTCTGTCTGCAGAGGCAGGAGGGTTTCTTGAGTCGCTGCTCAGGCTGGGTGGGAACTGGCAGTTTGGAGCTCCGGCCTAGCAGGCTGGTATGCCGACAGCAAATCACAGGAGGTATCTAAATGCCCTTGACCTTCAGGGCCGTGTCAGGTCGTTGAACAAGACTACAGCTACTTTGCTGATTCAGGACCCACATCCCAACGAAAGGTTTTGACCCTACATCACAAGGGAATCCTTCCTCCAAGTTGAGTGAGGCAGCTGAGCACTGGGAAAGTGATCTCGAGCTGAGTCCGCCGTGCAGTGGGGATACTTTGTCTAAGCTCCTGCTGTACGGCTGTAGGCCACACAGTGCAGGTTCAGTACCCTCTCCCGGCTCCCCCGGCCCTGACGCCCACTCCTGGCCCTGGGACCCTTCAGCTTTCAGACGCGGTGACCTCTGTGTCAGTGTCGGATGACGCCATCACCCGGGCCATGGGCCGCTGCTGGGATGAGAACCAGTACTTGCTGTGCCCTCACTCAGCCGTGGCGGTGAGCTACCACTACCAGCAGATGGACGGGCGGCAGCCCAGGTATGGCGAGGGGTGTGGATCACAGGGCCTTGGACTTCAGGGACCACCCTCTCCCCCAAGTCCCCAGGACTGTGGGCAGAGGGCTCTCGGGGTGTGCTGTGTGGCCTGGTGGTCTCAGAAGAGGAGGTGTGGCAGACGCCCAAGGGGGCAGCCGCGGGGAGGGGGGAGGCATGATTGAGCTGGACCCCCAACTGGTTGCTGGGCAGCCTGGTAGACGTGAGCTCAAGGTACAGTCATGCGTCGCGTCTGAGCGCTGTGCCCACCCGACCTTCCCTTCTCTTCCTCCTGTGCCTTCATCGGCCCTGTCTGCCGCTGCTCCCTCACCTGGCCTCTGGCCCCGCCGCCCCCATTTCTGACAGTGCGCCCCGGTGCTGCCTGGCCCCTGCCTCTGCGGCCAAGTTCCCGGAAGTGGTCCTGGCTGCCGGGCTGACCCCCGAGACGCCGGAAGAGATCCGAGCCCTGGAGCGCAAGGAGACGCGCTGCACTCCGATGCGGAGAGGAGAAGACTGGACGCTGATGCTGCGGGACGCCATCGAGGGCCTAAGCCGGCGGTGGACGGGTCGATCCTCGAGAGTCTCGGAGTAGCCCCGCTGGAGCTGGCCCCGGCGCGGAGGTGCGCCCTTCGCCGCCTGGGGGGTGGACGGAGGAGCGTCTCGGAGGGCTGCGAGGCTGTGTCGGGGCCCAGCTGCTCTTGCTGTATCCCCAGGAGCGGCGCACCGATTCCTGGCGGTGCTGCTCCTGGTCCCTGGCGGGCCCGGCTGCGGGGTGAGGCGCACCTCCGGATATGAGCGAGTTTCTAGGCCTGCCACTGAGGGCCCTGGGCACAGGGGGGTTAGGGCCCTGAGCCTTGCTGGGTGGAGGCCGCTCACTATGTTAACACAGGCTCCAAGCTGACGGTCTCTGAGCCTTAATTTCTCTGGCTCCCAAACCAAATCCAAAAGCGTTGGCCCGGCGTGTCAGCTTCCAGCCTGTTGCGCGTTGGGAATCCCTGGGATAAACGCACTGCTCGGGCTGATGGAGACCCCTTCCCAGCAGAGCTGGGCCCGTGTGCAGCCCCGATGGCTGCGGGGTGGTGGGCCGAGGTGTCCTATATCCGTGAGTTGGCCCAGGCTTGCCGGGCAGCAGAACAGGCAGGGGATGAGGGCCCGATGCCAGAGCTGTGGAGGAGGGTTGAGCTGGGAACCACCAGAGCCAGGCCGTGTGGGAAGCACAGGTAGCATCGATGTGCAAACAGGGTGAGTTGTCCCATTCTTCGGATACTGAGTCCATAGCAGAGATACTTTTACATTGCTCAGATCCTGTGGGCATCAGAGGAGCTTTAGACAAACACAGGCCGGTGAGTGTCAGTGTCAGCTTCAAGCCATGGATGTGAGGTCCCCTCTGGGAAGCGGGGAGAGGAATTTTTTTTCACCACTAGAGGATGCTGTTGCCCCACCCAGCGGGCCTCTGACCGCAGGAGCCCTTCTCTGGCTCCGGAGCGTGAGGTGCTGGTCACCGATGATGGAGCCTGCCTGGCATTCCCATCGGGCATGCCATCCCCGCATCTCCAAGATGCCCAGGAGCTGGGGGAGAGGCTGGAAGGCACCAGCTACTGGAGGACTTGGCTTCAAAGCTGGACATGCATGCTAAGGGGGGGGAGGGGGGAGTTCCTAAAGAAAGAACAGTGGCTCCTTCTAGGCCACAGATGCACCTGGCGATTTCTCAGACACTTTGCAACCCATTGGTGCAGACACTGACGGAGCCCCTGGGGCCGCTCACTTGGGACAGTAGGCCTGGTGCTTAAGGGTCGCCATGTTGTTCAAAGCCCTAGAAAATGTTTTAATTTTTTTTTAACCCAAAGAAAGCAATGAATACAATCCATCTTGGATTATATTCATCTTTCTACCAGCTCAGTTGTATGATTCTAAATATTCTCCTAGAGGGAGAGGCCTATCAAAGTTATAATGCCCCTACTGTGGGCCCATTGGTACTTTACAAAACTTAGCTCACTTGACCTTGCTGAAAACCTGTGAGGTGGGTGCTACCATTTTCCCCATTTTACAGATTAGGAAACTGAGGCTGCAAGAGGTGAGATAACCAGCCAGAGGGGCACTGTTAGTGAGCACAGAGGCTGGGGCTTGAGCCTTTGAGTCTGATCATGCCAGTGCCTCCTCTACAGCCAGGCATTTCTGTGGGGTCGGCTCTGCTGTCTTCCTCCCTCCATCCTTCCTCAGCGTGGCCCTGCCCCTGGGTCCCCAACCGGCTTCTTGGGTGGATTTAGGAGCACAGCTGTACTTCACCAAGAGGCCTCCGGGAGGCACTGCAGCCCGCTTCCCTGCTAGCCAGGAGCTCCTCATCCCTTGACGTTTCTGAGGCAAACCTGTCTGTCCTCTGCGGGTCCTGGGACCTGCACACTTCTGAAAGGCCACCACACTGTGCGTGGAGCCGGGTACAGCCCCTGCCCCAGCACCGGCAGACAGGAAGCATGAACTGCGGGCACCCTGGCCTCGAGGGCGAGGATCAGTGCCACTCTGCACCTGCCTAGAAGGAAAGGAGTGGGGGAAAGGGAGGAGGGGACAGGAATGAGAAGTTTGAAGATGCACCCACCCCGTAGGCACACACACTTGCCACCGTGGACTGAAGGGTGTGTGTGTGAGACCGATCTATGTGTAGCCATTGTAGCTCACAGTCCTCAGGATGTAACTGGTGTCCTTATAGGAAGAGGAAATGGGGACCCCGATGTCGGCACACACAGAGAACAGCATGCAAAGGCACCACCTGCAACTTGAAGAGAAGCCTTAGCCGCCGGCACCTGGATCTCAGATGTCCATCCTCCGGCGCCCGAAGGAAGTAAATTTCTGTCTACTAAAACGACACAGGCTGAGGTCCACCCTTGCCTCAGCCTGAGCCAACACACGTGGGCGCGCACACACATCAGTACCCACGGAAGTTAGATGGACTTGAAGTCTTCTTCTTTCTGGTACTGTGATCCCAAATGAGCTGTTTCCTGCCTCTGAGCCTCAGTTTCCCCTTCTGCTGATCAGAACGCTTACCTACCTTGCAGGTCTACCTTGAGGATTACCTGACGTAACGTATTGCTAAGTGCTAGGTAAACTCTCAAATGCCGTACAAATGGTTCTTCCTATTAACACAATTATAGTCTGCACAGAACAATTTAGTACTTTTAAGCTGCCTTGTGTTTCTTACTAATTGCCCTGGGAATCAGTCTTATCTTGCCTGGGAGGTTGCCTGTCCCTTGGGGGTAAAGTTCTTCCGTGGTCCTCGCAGTGCTGAGGCAGCTCTGGGCACAGGGGTGGGAAGGAAGTGACCTGGCCTGGCTAGTGTGCCCGGCAACAGGAGTGCCAGGACTGTGTGGGAACTGAGTGCCTTAGATTTGTTGGTAGTGCTTCTGCTAGCCAGTTAACAAGCCTTATTAATCTGCAGTCAGGGTGCTGGAGCAGTGATTTCCTCTTGGGCATGAGAGCTGGGTTCAGCCCTCTGTAAAGCCCTTGCCAGACACCGATTCTTCGGACACCCATGAGAAGTGCATGAGCAAATGTGATTACAGATGAAAAATGAAGCTCAGAGAGGTTAGGTCACTTACCCAAAGCCACACAGCCACTGGTAGAGGGAGGATGTAAGGCCAAGGGTAGTGGCTTAACCACTGTACTAGACCACTGAGAAGTGCTTTGAGCCTCTGGTTAGCGTATATGGTGGTCTGAGGGAGAGATGGGAGATGGTGTGTGTAGGGGTGACAGGCAGCTGCTCTGGAGAGGGCCAAAGAGTCACGAAGTCCTTCCCTTCTGGCTCGGGTTTCCTTGTGGAGCTGGACTGCTCACTGTGGGACAGCTGGGAGCAGGTGTCTGCCCGGTGGGTGGATATTGCCAGGGGGAGAGGGTGACGATGATTCTGAGGGATTTTCAGCTCCTGGCAGGGAGCCCCTACCTGATGAGCCCCACTGGAAAGAATCAGAAAGGGGTGTCTGTATGCTAGGTGTGGTGGTGCACACCTGTAATCCCAGCATTTGGGAGGCTGAGGCAGGAGGATCACAAGTTCAAGGCCAGCCTGGGCTACATAGTGAGACTGTGTCTCAAATAAATAAATAAATAAAACACGGAAAAAGGAGGAGGAAGAACAGGGCCTGGGAAGCTCTGCTGAGTTTCCCAGCTGTGTCCTAAATGAACATGGGGTAAGCAGTACTGGGAGGACTGGGCCACTCACCTCCTGCAAAGGGGACAGGGAGGGCTCCTCTGTGCCTCAGCCCGGGAAGGCATCCTCCTTCCCAGAGCCGCCCTTCCGGTCCCCACCCTCCAATCCTCTATTCTGCGCCCTGGGGCCTGGCAGTGCCAAGAAATGGGCACACGCTGAGGGTAAGAGGGCTGACTTCCTGTGGTGTGCCTGGCAGTGACGGGCACCTCAGGAAGGGAAAGCGGAAGACGTAGCTGGGCCTGACAGAGGCACAGGGTGGGGGCCACATCCAGCAGCCGTCTGGGCTGCCAGCTTCTCCACAGAGGCCAGGCTGCCCTCCTGGGCCCTCCCCTCCCCCGCAGCACGGAGTGGCTGTGCGGTGTTGGTTTAGGGGCTTGTACCCCACTGCCTAAGCATTCCCTGAAAGCCACTGCTGAGTAAATGGTAAGCCCAGGCCCTGGCCCCCGAGCCTAGCCTTCCCTGAGAGCATTAGACTGGAGCAGAACCAAAGCAGGCGCTGAGGGCCCAGACCAAGGCTGGGCAGGACGCTGGGGGTGCGCGCGGGCTCCGGGGCTGGCTGGGTGGAAGGAGACCCTCCTGGGTTCGGGGCTGTTTTCTCCTCCCCTTCCCTGGAGTAGAAGGGGCTTCCTGGTGCAGGGAGGAACGTCTGCGTGTGAGTGGGCCTCCCTTCCTTCTGGGACAGGTGCGAGGTGGCGTTCATCCTTCCAGCCAGGGTGAAACTGCGTGGAGCAGCCCCTGGCTTGGCCGTGGGGGGCGCCAAGGGAGGGCCGCGTCGCACCGCTCCTTACTCCCTGGGTCACCGCCTTCCCCCTGTCATTGCTCACCCAAGGCTCACAGAGCTGGCGTGTAAAACTGACTCAGTTTAGTCCATGAGGGTTCAGAGAGATTGGAGCCCCACTTATGGGGTGTCCCTGCAATCAAAGGTCACTGTGGGCTGCCACCCACCTGTTCTGGACGAACACATTCTCCAAAGTCCCAAAAGCCCAGGAGGAGCCCAGCTAATGCTTCCTGTGGCCAGCAGAGGGCAGCAGAGCACACCCCAAATCTTCCCTTTGAAGTTCCCTGATCAAGTCCCCATGCGCCACCTACACAAGCTCCTCCCACAGGCTTGCAAGCGTAACTTAGTTCTTCGGGAGTCAGAGGTCCTGATGGTCAGAGGAGGCACGGGACACCCAAAGTTTTATCAGTGTTTTGTTTTTGGGGTTTGTTTCCCATTGAACCCCAGCCTCTAGTGCAAAATAAGCAAGCGCTCTACCACTGTACTACATCCCTGGCCCCCAAAGATATTTTTTAGTTCATTATTCTCAAATTTAATATCTAAATCTCCCTTCTTTAAAAAAAAGTAAAGTCACAGAGGCCTCCACTGTTGTCTTAGTTTTTAGTTTTGAAATAAAGCTATTCCAGTACATAAAAGCAGAACTACGTATCCACTCTGTGTATAGACAACTCGCATACAGGATCAGCAGAAATAAAGATTTAGATTCAGTGTGAACAAATCTACAAACAGAATCAACAAAGTCAAAGCGAGCTCATTCCTATGCGATGGATGCATCCCATGCCGCCCCCCTCAGCCCCGGGCACAGTGTGACTCTGGCCCTTCGCTCCGGGACAGGGTCAGAGCTGTGTGTGCACTGCGTTTCTCTCCCCTGGGCAGGTACAACTTCGCTTTTCCCTGCTTTCTGTCTTCTGACCCCAGGGAAACGTCCCAGTCACAGCAGCTGTGATGCCACCTGGCTTTTGGTTGGTGGCAGCTCATCCCATATGTGGCCGGCCTGCCTCGCCTTACCTGTTTGTGACAGTAGAGATGGTATCGTTGCTGGCATATGTAAATTCAAGGGCAGTGCGGATGCTGAAATTATGTGATATGACTTAGTTTTAAGGTGGGCACACTGATGGTCTAGAAAATCTTTTTAAAAAATTTTCCAAGAAGTATGACACACACCAAACACCTTGCTGGTGGAGAATTCTAAAACAGAGCCAGGCATGGTGGCACGTGCCTATAATCCCAGCAGTGGGGAGGCTGAGGCAGGAGGATCGCCATGAGTTCGAGGCCAGCCAGAGCTACAAAGTGAGCTCAAGCCCAGCCTGAGCTACATAGTGAAACCCTGTCTCAAAAAGACCAATACCTAGATAAATAAATAATAAAATAAAATAGGACACATACCTGGAGCCCCTTTTTGGAAAACGTCACCTCTCCTGATCCTTGCTTCTTACAGATGAGCAAATGGAGAGAAGAGGGCTACCAAGCTCGTCAGGGATGAGAAATTGGTAGATTCCAGGCTTCTTGCTCACACAGCACCTCCCTGTTAACAGCCTTCAGAAGCCCAGGGCACGCTTGGCCTGGCAAAGGACAGTGGGCATGGATCCTCCGAAGAACGGGCATCCCCACTTGGTACCAAACAACCATCTTCCAAAGCCTGGAAAATGAGCGATCTTGGATCTACACAGTCTTGCCACAGTTGGAAGACTTTGTCCAAGGATCTCCTGAGAAACCTGGAGCTCTTCCGGACTCCAGGTCTGGCGAGCGGCCTAACCTGCACCACCCTGGGCCACCTTACTTGCTGATTTTTAAAAACTATTAAGTCTCACAGGTATTGAGCCCTTACTGGATGCTAGTATTAGGAGCTTGGGTAAAAAAAGACCCATTTGGGGCCTAATTCCTAAGGGTAGGCTTTTAACTTGAGTTCCATTAATTGCCAAGAGGACCAAAGATACAATTCAGAGGGTCTGAGAACTTCAAGGGGGAAAAAGCTGCATGCTTATTTTCTCTAGCCTGAAATGGAAGGTTAGCGTCTCCTTCAAATACCTGTGCCGGCAAAACCCAATTAATCCCAGCAGCACCTGGGACTTTGTCATCAAGAGGAATCACAGATCTCTTCCTAGATATTATAGCAGTCTCCGTGTTAAAACTGGAGATTTATTGTAAAAGTCAGCTTCTGGGGGCCACCTGCAGACAGGTCCAGTTACCCAGACTCCATAGGAGATGGGATGCCGAGGATGCCGAGGGCTCAGGATGGTCATCGTCATCAGAAAGAAAGGATCACGGGGTCCTCGGTGCCATTCTTGCCCCAGGAACCTTCCTTCCTCTCCTGCACAGTCTTCGGAAATCGACCATCTTCCTGTGATGTAAGTGTCACTCTGAGCAATGTGTGGTTATGAATTACAGTCACCATGTGGTACTCTAGGTAGATCTCTTGCACTTATTCGTTCTTTCTAACGGAAACCCCGCATTTTTCCTATACAAAAGGAAGTGTCCTGTGTCTTGGCTCGTGGGTCTGTGTTGTCGTTGGCTGTAGGGGTGGCGGTAGGTCCTAGGGGTAGAGACAGTGTCTGTGGTGGGTGGAGGAGTGTTCTGGCGGTCAGGAAGTCCCACTCCCACTCCAGTTTCTACCACCCTCTCGCTGGGTGAGCGCTCTCACCCCCTCTCAGCGCTGCAGAGCCCTCGCCTGTGAGGTAATAAAGTTGGGCCCCAAGTTCTCTGCGCTCTTTTCTAGTCAGGGGACTTGGCAGCCTCCACAAGGAAGTGTCCTCCACGGCTCAGGTCCTCAAAGGGAGGGAGTGACTTTGCCTGCAACAACAGTGTTGCTGTCTGTCTTAGGT